AGAATAAAAGAGTGTATGTGCCTTTGAGAATAAGGATAATAATAGTTATTTGTAATAAAAATGTTTTAGGAAGTATTTTATCGAAGCAACAACAATTTTTTTGACAAGTTAAAAATAAAGCAAAAATGCAAACAAAGATATACAGGGTTGTTCACCACATACGACACGGAGTATTGTAGCTAAACGATGAGATTTTTACAAATTGTAAGTTTGGGGTTCGTTGAAGGACTATTAGAGCTACAATTTAAAAATATTTTTACAAGATACAGAGTGTCCCAAATAAATAAAAAATATCAAAGTTGTATTTTTTTAAATGGAACACCCTGTATATTATTACATTTTTAGTTTCTACGATTAAAATAAAGGTAAATTTGATTAAGGTTTATTATACTTAAACATTACGTTTTTGAAATATTTTCAATTTTGTGAAATTGCAGTAAAAATTTTAAAGCTTTATTTCTCCAAGGGTATCAATGTTTTTAATACTAAATATTTAATGAAGTTTATTTATTGATCAGTTATTGTGTTGCAATAATAAAAATAATACTACTTTATAGAGAGTGTCTAAAAATTTACTTTAAATAATTATTAACTTCAAACGGCAACAACTTCTTTAATTTAAATAGAATGCCCTGTATATTTTAGGAGAATCAGATGCACAATTAAATTGTCTATCAAATTTATTATACCATTTTTACCTATCCCTTCAAGTTTTCGTAGAAAATGCATTTTCTTATAATTTAGACCTCATTTATCAATATATCCATGGAATATTGACATTTTAGATTGTTTTTAAAGCAACAAATGTACAAAATGTACAGACTAGTAATATTATCGTTTTAGCAAAACGATAATATTACTAACAAACCATTGTATGCAAAAGAAAACTATTTAAATCTTTATAAAAGAGTATACCATTAATTAAATATAACACCATTATTTCCGCCCATATACTAATTAATTACATACTTAATTGTGTTCGTTAATAAATTATTATAAATAAATGTGGATTTGAGTCAGAAATCAATATAATAATAACTTATCAAATTAAAGTCTCTGTTGTTATAAATAAGCATTTATTAAAAAATGAAATATCATTTTTAAGGTGTTAGTTTTTATCACACTGTCTAATGCCCATACAAAATTCAGTTTTTTAGTATTTGGAGCAATTATTATTAATCAACGCAAACAGTCAGTTAATGTGGTTTGAATACTGGAATCATATTAATTGGTCCTCTTTAACAAATATTTAAACAGTTTTTTTATTTTTTAAAGAAATAAACGAATTATATCGACAATATTAGTATCTGTACTCTTTAAAAATTTGGTACATCTTTAAAAATAATCTAAAATGTCAATAGTCCATGGGTATATTGATAAATAAGTTCTAAATTACAAGAAAATGCATTTTCTACGGAAACTTAAAGAGATAGGTAAAAAATGGTATAATATTATTTGATAGACAATTAAATTGTGCATCTGATTCTCGTAAAATATACAGGGCGTTCCATTTAAATTAAACAAGTTATTGCCATTTGAAGCTAATAATTATTTAAAATAAATTTTTAGACACTCTGTATAAGGTAGTATTATTTTTATTATTGCAACACAATAACTGATCAATAAATAAACTTCAGTAATTATTTAGCATTAAAAACTTTGATACCTTTGAAGAAATGAAGCCTTAAAATTTTTACTGCAATTTCACAAAATTGAAAATATTTCAAAAAAGGTAAGGTTTAAGTATAATAAACCTTAATCAAATTTACCTTTATTTTAATCGTAGAAACTAAAAATGTAATAATATACAGGGTGTTCCATTTAAAAAAATACAACTTTGATATCTCTGTATCTTGTAAAAATATTTTTAAATTGTAGCTCTAATAGTCCTTCAACGAACCCCAAACTTACGATTTGTAAAAATCTCATCGTTTAGTTACAATACTCCGTGTCGTATGTGGTGAACAACCCTGTATAATAAGTTAGATAGATATCTTAATCACATACGTAAAAATCAGACATGTAAAAATAAGTAAAGTTCATTTATTTCTTTTAGTTACCTTTCTCACCTGGTATCAAGGTGTCACAGGGCGAACCCCATAAACACGCCGGTATTCAAAGCACATGAGAGTACTACTGAGAGCCTAAGGTTTCATCCTTGTGAAAATAAGAGACTCACCCTGTATATATAGTTATCAATGAAAATTATTCCCTTATTTATCTCAATTTTCCACTGATATCTAGTACACGCTGCACAACTATTTTACAATCTTGAAGGAATTCGCAGTAATGGTTAATTTCAGTTCTAAAACGTCCAAAGGTTAAGACACTTAATTTTATAGAACGTAGTTCAAAAGTAGTTCGTTAAAATAAACCAATTGCAACACCATTATTTGACGGCCAGGCTATAACCCGTCCAACGAGTAAAAAAAGATTTAGACAGACAACATCCAAAAAGTGATAGAAAGTGTCATGGGTCCTCCCATTAGACAGACTATATCTGTCTAGTCGTATACAGCAAAGCAAATAAACTAGCGTTAAACAGCGTTAGATAGAGACGGACTATAGGTATGGAACAAAGTAGGAAAGGCTGAAACGGCCATGGAATTCAGACTCGTTTTGAAGGCCGACAGACGGCTCGAAGCGGCACTTTGTGGCCCATTGTGCCCCATTTCAATGGTCAATTCTCGGAATTAAACGAGCCAAACACTGAAATGAATACCGTGGAATTTCAGGGCCGCGTTAAAATTAACGAAAATTGATTTTTTTAGAACGAAAAGGTTATAATTTGGATTAAATGGATTAAATTATGCTATTGATAAAACGAACAGTTATATAATTTTAATTGTAATTTTATTATCATTATTGCTAAAATACACTTTTAAGCTTCATTCAGAACCTCCAAATTAGTAGTTTGAATTACACTTTATACTTTTTAGTTTACGATCATTCACAATGTTTAAAAAAAACATAATTAATAAGTTAATAGGATATCCTAGCAACAGCTTGCGTTAATCAGTTGTATCCACAGAGATGGCCAATACTTAGCATATAAAACAATCAACTTTTGATTTCTAACCACAATTTCTCTTGACGGAAGATTATCAAAGTCCAAAATGACATTTCTCGCAAATTTTGAATTATAATTAGTGGAAAATTTTAAAGTTTGATAACTTTTTCTACTAATTGAAAATTTCTACCACTAATTTTGACGTTTTGAATGCTTATATTGAAATTAAAGGAACAAACATCTATGCTAATTGTAACCACTAATTGGGAGGTGTGGATGAAGCTTTATAAATTAATTATTAGACTATCTCTATGGATACAACTGACTACCCCAAAATGTTGCGCTAGGATATTCTATTAATTTTAATTGTATGTTCTAGGCATTGTGAACTCTTAAGTATAATTGAGGTACAGTGTGGGTCAAATTCGACGCTTTTAAATAGAAACACCCTTTTCTATAGGAAATAGACAAAAACTAATATCGGTGTCTGGAGCTCAATTTTTGTCAAAAATATGATGGTGAAAACCGTATATCGATATCTGTTACTGTTTTGGAGTTACGGGGTGTTTTTCAAAAATATGCATTTTTAACAAATCGCTGTAACTTTTTTGCTATGGAAAATTTCGTATTTTTATGAAAACATTTCCAAAGCACCTTTTTACATAGAACTTAATGGTTTAAGTATATTTTTTTTTAAATTAATAATTTAAGAATTATCAACAGAAAATTTGATTTCTTATATGAGACACCCTGTATATTTTTAATTTATTGAAAATAATTTAAAATTACCTTTCTAAAAATATAACACACTTGATATTTTGCTCGATTCCTGTTCGAGATATAGAGTATATAAAAATTCGCCTGCTTTAAATTAAGAACGGAAATTAAGAAAAATTTGAACGGCACCGGCTGTAATGCAAAAAAATTCTAGCAATTAAATCGAAAATATTATTTGCTATGAGAGATGCAGAATTTTATAACAATTTAAAATATCCAACATCAACATTAATTAAACACATTTAAACTATATCTAATAACAATAAAAATAAATAGCAAACCAAGACATGAGATTTTGCTACAGGTGTTCGACATATCGACCGTTTTCTGTTCTGGACAGACGGGGCCGTTTTTGAACATTTCTCGCGGAATTCATTAACTCAGTGGGGGTGAAAGATACCTTCTCATAATTGCTAAGTATTTCTAATTTTTGTCTAGATTATACGGAAGAATAAGGAACATTTATTCTTCCACATATATATCCATAAGATTAGATCCATGGGCAATAAGTCAGGCGGCCTCGCCGGCCAACGGCTGGGATGTTGGTTAGCTATTCAATTATTCTTGAAATTGGCTGCAGAAATTTGCTGGTAACTTCAGCGTTCTGAGGCGGTGCGTCGTCTTGCTGGAAAAATATGTTTTCGAGTTCCATTAAGGGCATATCATCAATAAGGGATCCAAAGCCTACTAGTTAAAAGTGGCAAACTTTAACTTATTATTAACTTTAAATATTCTGTATTTCGAAGGGGATTATAACAAAATATCAAGTGTGCTATATTTTTGGAAAGGTAATTTTAAATTATTTTCAGTTAATTAAAAATGTAGAGGGTGTTCCAAATAAAAAATCAATTTTTTTGTTGATAACTATTAAATTATTAATTTTAAAAAAATTATACTTAAACCATTAAATTCTACGTAAAAAGGTGCTTTGGAAATGTTTTCATAGAAATACAAAATTTTCCATACCAAAAAAGTTACAGCGATTTGTTAAAAATGCACATTTTTGAAAAACACTCCGTAACTCCGAAACGGTAATAGATATTGATGTGCGGTTTTCACCATCATGTTTTTGATGAAAATTGAGCTCCAGACACCGATATTAGTTTTCGTCTATCTCCTATAGAAAAGGGTGTTTCCATTTGAAAGCGTCGAATTTGACCCACCCTATACAACTTAAAAACTATCATCTAGGATTATGAGGCAAAGTTGTGTAAATGTTTGCTATATATATTTATATATTTTGAAGTAACTATTTATTCATAATGCGTAAATTCATAATAACAATAACAACAATTCTGGTGCATAATAAAAATACTCGTTATATGTTATGCGTGTTATATCAAATAGTATACTGATACTGATCTTTGCTATACTAACAGATCTTGCTTTGTTTTGTTATATTAAATAGTATACTGACACTACTTTTTTTAATCTTTGATTTTAAATTTTCATCTACGTTTTGTGGACGTGTGATTTTGAATTTTCATCAGTTTTTGAATTTTGTTGATATTTTTATTAATGTTCTTAACTTCCAACAGCCTGAAGGGTGATTTCGTTTACCTGTAACATAAAATATGTGTTAGACCGGAAAATATTATTAAAAATATTTTTATTTACAATAAATATAAATGTTTAATATGATATCTATTGTAAGGACCAAATTTTTTTTCAAGCGGTCAACTCAAATTAAAAATAAAAACTATAAAACAAATTTAAAGGGCGTAAATGTTGTATAATAAAATACAACTAGTAATATAAAATAAAAATAATACTAATAGATGGTACGTTACTAATGGTAATAGCCAACTTTGATCTGAGCGCTGCAAATGGACAAATGTTGTATAGCAACAAAAGTCTTGTATGACCTGGCTACCGAGATGACCGTTATTATTATAATAAAGTGAATTTAAAATTAAACAGGTACTTGAATGATGTATCAATAGTCCAACTTAAAAATACAAGTTTAAATAAAATAATAAAATGCCACACAGGCTAGTCACACAGACTATTAAAAAAACATGCCACACAGGCTATCAAAATGCCACACAGGCTATCAAAGTGCCACACAGGCTAAAAAAATGCCACACAGGCTATCAAAATGCCACACAGGCTAAAAAAACATGTCACACAGTCTATCAAAATGCCACACAGGCTATCAAAATGCCACTCAGGCTAAAAAAAATGCCACACAGGCTATCAAAGTGCCACACAGGCTAAAAAAATGCCACACAGGCTATTATAGTGCCACACAGGCTAAAAAAAATACACAAGTTATTAATAGTCAAACTACACTACGGGGCTAACTACTCTTCAAGTCTAATTACGCTACGGGATTAACTACTTAAGTAAGCTAATTACGCTACAGGACGAACTACTCTTCAAGTCTAACTACGCTACACAGGGTCACTACGCCCCAAAGGCTAACTGTAGAAAATAATAAAGCTAATCATAATTCATGTGTAAAAGTATATTTTTCTTGTCTTAAAAGTATATGTATTATATCTTGTATACATTTTTGAATGTTTTTAAGAGTGTTGAAGTGTCTATATTATTGTATTTTTTTTACTTTATATTTGTATTTTTTACTTTTTGGATTTATGAATGTAAAATGGTTTACCGTTGGAATAATAATAATAAATAAATAAATAAAACAGTTTTTCCTTTTCTGAAGTCGATCCGGGCGTATACTGATGAAAAATATTAAACCAATTTTCTATGTTTACTAAGAAGTTTCTGGAATAAATTTCCGTGGAGACAGTTCTCGTTGTTCTACTTACGTTCACATGAGCCGGAGTTGACAGGGCGTAAACGACGGCCTCCGCAATATCTGGACCGTACAGGGGCGGAATAGTCAGGACGGGTAGGCCCCCCACATCCTCAAATTCCGTCTTGACGTATCCGGGACTGATGCTCTGCAATTCGGTACGAACAAGACCAGGTTAATAATCAAATAAATGTAAGAAAAATAAAAAATATAGAGGGTGGCGCACTGCAATGTGCATAATTTAAAATTATTTTGAAATGTAGAGGGTACAAGGTCAGCATCAGAGACTAAGATCCCTTCAAAATTATGTTTTTGTATTTTTTTTTTTTTTTTTTTTTTTTTTTTTTTTTTTTTTGGTAAAAAAATTTTTTACATGTAAAACACTATTTGTTACACGTAAAAAACTATATTTTTTTTTTTTTTTTTTTTTTTTTTTATAAAACAAAATATTTTTACACGTTAAAAAAAATTTTGTGAAAAAAAATATTTTTTTTTTTTTTATTTAGTTAATATGTTTAATTTTTGATGTTGCAGTAGTTCTAATCTAGCTCTTATGATGTCGACACCGGATTTTCTATTTTCGTAAAACATTAACCAGTCTAGCGTTCGAATAACCCTCTGGAATTTTCAAAAATAAGCATAATAAACCTTGGACCACTAAGGGTCTACGCATATCTTCTAAAAACATTCGTTCATTATCTCACTTAAAAAAGTTCTCAGACAGTCTCTTCTTCCACAATTACGTAAAACTATAAAGAAAAACTTATCCCTTAAGACTATAAGGGCTTCCATGGGACCTTTATTATAATGGGAGAATAGTCAATTCTGGTATTGTTGCTATTTGCTAAAGAGCCGCTGATCTATTGAATGAGTTAAAACAAACAAAGCTACTTCGTCTAGCAATATCTACCTCGCCTGGGGAACCTTAACGATTGCACCTTAAGAAATGCTGTGAAAAACTTAGCTAATACCATGTCCTCCCTCATGATCCACATTCTTATCTCTCTAATGATGATGTAAACTTACACAGTTTTTTTTTCGCCCGTAGTTCTTGAAGAGCTTCGCAGGGTACAATTAATATATCAAAATGGAAATCCTCTTCTGGGACCGACGGGCTAACTTTAAAAATGTTTTCGGATCTGCCAGAAAGCACTCTGAATCACCTAGCAACTTTGGCAAACATGTCGTTCCAAGATGGTATTTTCCAAAATGTCTCCAAGACAAGCAATAATCATTCCCTTTCTACTGGGGAGGAGACAAAGGGTGAAGCTTTCTAACCATGTGGTGCACTCCACTGCTTATCTAAGGATCATAGAAAGGGGT